CACAAAGTGCAAGCTTCAACGGAATTAAATAAAAGGGTTAGCCACACCTACCACTGGGGATGGCGGTCGGGATAAAATCAACCGGCGGCCTGCGAGGAAAGGGGAATAAAATTAAATTTGGAGGCACCTAGTGCACCTAGATTGTTTATGGGTTATTTAGTCTTTGCACACTGTTTTATATCCCTAATTGGCCTGTGCACTCTAATTTTAAAATCCTTGGCCTTTATACCCTCCAACCATTAGTCATCTGGTAAGAGGATAACGTTGGTGTGAGATGACGCTAATGCCATGATCTAACTAACAACCAGAGTCCTTGACAACCCAACGTTTCTCAAAGACCATCAATTTCTGTTTCTCTCCATTGGCGGTGTGAGTGAATTAGGGCTGGGATGAATGAAAGCAATGCAATGGAAGATGGTGACAACTCTCAAGGATGCGAAAACGTATGGGTGGATTCAGGAGTACGTACTGGAACTACTGCTCAAAGGATTCAGAGGACATCAAAGTTGCATGTGAAGAGAAAGTTAGATGCTTTACCCGCTCCAAGTGAGTGATTTGATTCTTAGTTTGCCAAATTTGATTATGGAGAATCTTTTATAAAGATTTTTAATACTTAGTTTGAGATACTTAGTTTGTGATTTTTGGTTATTAAGATTAGTATATGAATTTGTCAGTTTCAGTTAGGGTACGATTTTATGAAACTAGCAGAGATGATGGAATAAATAGTGATGATTTTGGTGATATATTTGTTGAATTACCTCCACTCAACAACTTTATGAATGCTGCAAATGATGATAGCACAACACTGTTTTATGAAGGTATATATATGCAGTGTACATTGTTCAATATAAACTCATTATGTTGTGTTATATATGTATTTTAGTAAATGATTTGTTTACCCTTCCATATGTTGTTGATGTAAATGTTACTTAACGTGCTATATTGGTATTCAATTTGAACAAAATGTTGATGGATTAGATGGGTATGATCTCGATGAATCAGATGAGGAATTAGATCACTGTAGTTCTTATACGGAAGAAGGGAGTGATAGAGATGGAGTGAAAAGCACAAGAAATGGGGAGGATATAAGTGAGGTGTTGAATGGTATGCCACACAAAGCCTATGACTGCAATGAGGAAACTTTTACTTGCTTAAAATATGTGAAATGGGAAGACCAATCAGACCTGGCAATAGGAAAACAATGGGTAACTATGGATGCATGCAGAATGTACATTGGAATGTATGCCATCAATAATATGTTTGAGATTCTCTTTCAGAAGAACTGTGCAGATAAGCTCATCTGGAGGTGTAAACGAGAAAGATGTCCTTGGAGGTGTTAACTGGGATAGGTTTCTGACATTAATAGCTCCTGAGCAGAAGAAACACCCTTTGCCACTTACTGTGACATCTGATAGGGCTCAAGCAATCATAACTAGTTTTCAGACACATTTGGGCGACTGCAATCCTAGAAGCTGCTTTAGACACATCTTCAAGAATATGAGTAAGTGGTGGAAAGGGGAACACATAAAGGAACTGACCTGGGCAACTGCTTCAGCATAAAAAAGGTTCATTTTGAAAGAAGTCTTCAGAGATTGGATGAGGCAGCAGTTGATATCAAGGACTATTTACCGAAGATTGGTCTAGAGTTATAGTCAAGGGCACATTTTGATACAACATGTACGAGTGACCACCTGACAAATAACTTCATAGAGAGTTGTAACAATTTCATATTAAGTCAAAAGGATAAACCTGTGTGTTCAATGATGATAGGTATATCATTCCTTTTAATGAAGATTATGTATGATAGAAAAGTTCAGAATAGTACATGGAATGAGAATGATGTGGTACCCAGGGTTGCTGCAATCCTGGCAACTTATAAGGAGAAGCAGAATGATTATGTGACTTACCCTTGAGGTGAAGGAACTTTTCTGTGTGAGGAAATTTACTAGGGAACACTGAATTATTAACTTAAAAAAGCAAGAGTGTGAGTGTTGTGAGTGGCAGGTCACATGCATACTATGTGTACATGCAGTCCATCTTATAAGCCATTTGAGACTGCCACTACCTCTGTATGCTCCTATTACCTTTACTTTACTTCTTTGTTCAATTTTTAAATTGAAACTGAAAGCTTATTATGTATTTGACTTCGTCTTCTTGCTGCTTACAGATTTTGTAGTCCATTACTAAGTGTCAAGGCCTACAAAGCATGCTATCAAACAAATATTAAACCAATATCACATGAAAGTGATTGGCGAGAGGTATGAATACAAATCTAAAGCCAATATATACCGTAAAACCAATTCCAGAGTCAATAGGCACAAATAGTGACCAATTTTTTAAAATTGTGTAGGGAAATGAAGTTTTATTGCCACCTAAGCTTTCAAGAGCCCTCGAGAGGCCTAAAAACAATAGAATAAAGGGGCATGATGAGACTGAAACACAATCCAGCAGTCAGAAGAAGTGCACCAAGTGTCTATCTTTTGGACACAACAAGTGGTCATGTCAAGGAGGGCCAGTTGCTAGAGGTGGTGGGAGAGGTGCTACTACTGCTCGAAGGGGTGATGGAAAACTTGGTTCAAGGGCTGGTGAAAGGGGTGCTGCAAGAGATAGTTCAAGGGCTCCTGCTATGGGTGGTTCAAGGGGTGGTGCAGGTAGTGGTGGAAGAGGTGGTAGAGGGGGTAGAAGAGGTGGTGGAAGTACTACTGCCTACCACCAGTAAGTGTGTGTGTGTGTGTGTGTGTGTGTACATATATACACAGACAGCGGATCAGGTGAGAAGTGCTCTTAGACTGAAAACTGTGAAGTTTAACTAATAGACTAAAAACACGAACTTTTAACCAATAAATCATAACTTATAAACCCCATCGAAAATATTTACGAAAATGCCACCGCCAAAAAAAAGCCTGGAAACCTTGAAAGTTTTTGGACGCGGTGACATTTTCGTAATTATGATGGAGAGCTTTATAAGTTATGATTTATTGGTTATAAGTTCCTATATTCAGTCTATAAGTTTACTGCGTTGTAAGATTAGATGCAAATCCGAGGGCTTAGACTGCGTCTCACTTCTCATTTTAAGAGGGACTTCTCACATGATCTTTTCCCTCTCTCTCTCTATAAATATTTGTAGAGTTGTTGAAACAACTAGTGTTTACCACAACTAGTTGTTGCTACAACCAGTTTTGCTCACTGCATAGATGCAATATATGTGCTCTAACTCGGTTTTTTGGTGTTTGTAAATTCTAGACATGAAGCTCACTTTTTTGTATAAGTAGTAGAGCTATCTATATTTGCTAGAATTAGATAACAACAAAGTATTAACACATTGCACTTGCAGTTTTTTGCTCAATGTAATATGAAAGGTATGTAGACCAAAACTACATTATTATATAATGAGTTTTTTACTCATAAGCCGAATTACATCACATACTTGGCCTTCGTATGTTACTTTCCCCATCCTCTTCTATAGTCACTTTAACACTATGGTTTTGCATAGGAATGCTTGTTGTTGCTTCACTTGTGGATGGTGTTTCCTTGTTTGGTTCATATGTTGCTATTTCTTTATGTTTTGGTGAATCTACCCATCTGAATGCTTGGCATTGGGGCTGACCTTTGCATCTTAGGAATCTGCATCCATAACTTCTTGATTGTTGAGATGTGTATAGCTCCATGTTGTTTGGGCAGCCCTCTGTACAAGGTATATGTTTACAAGTGCATGACTTCGCCCAATGACCTTGTTCTCCACAATGAAAACACTAAACAATAGAGAATATGTTATACTTGTTAGCAAGAACAAATAAATTTTACAAAAGTCATACCTAAGATCAGCTTGTTCATCCTTCATGTGCAGCCATACGATTCTTTAAATTCAATACATACATATTTACTCCTCACATTACCAGCTTTTGTAGGGAGTAATGTGGAAGGGTGGTTACATATTGTTGGATGAGCATTTATGGTTGGATGTATATATTTATTGAACTTTGACTAGTACCTATTCAACCACATTATAGGACCACCACACAGAAGAATCAGTGGGTTGTTCACTACTTTAATTTGTGTTGTTGATTAAATTTATGCTCGGTTTTTTCTTTCTTAGTTTTTAATTACGTTTTTATCTTTTTTCTTTATGTTGTATCTGTTTTTTCAAGACCTCTCTTGAAAAAGAAAAAGACGTGTAGATAAGCTGTTTTATAATCTGTTCTTCTTTAGGATGTTATTCAGTTTTGGTGAGAATTGAGGTGAGGATGGTGAGACGGCCTTGTTTTTGTTATGAGCTTTGTGTTCTTTCTAGGTTTTGTGTTTGAGTCAGTTCTAGGTTAGTGTGAATTTCAGTTTTATGTTCAGGAATCGGTTTTGTATCATGGTTTTTTTGTTTATCTTCAGGAATCAGTGTGCATTGGGAGCTGTGTGGGAGCTTATATCCGGAAAACTATGTATTTTGTGAATAAGTGAGGAGGGTATTAATGACATTTAGTTTTTTAGAAGTCTAACTAACATACCTAGTTAACTTAGGGTGTGAATACTAAGGATTTTAAAATCAGGGTGCACAGACAAATTAGAAGTATAAAAGAGGGCGCAAACTCTAAATAACCCATTGTTTATTACCAATTTACCTTAGCGAAACCCTAGGAGAGGGTTTCGACCTTACCTACCCAATTTAAAATTGGGATTTTCAGACCGTTGATTGACTTTGACCGCGTTTGACCGGCGTTGACCGACGGTTGACAGCTTCCATCAGCTCCAGCCCAGGTTAGCAGCTCAGCGGCCCAGAAGTCCGTAGCCCAAAAAGACCAGCAGCCCAGCACTCCAGATTTTCTTCAGTAATCCAGCAGTCCAAGATAGCAGTTCAGCTCCAAGCCCAGTCCAAGAAACAGCAGAGCAGTGCAGCCCAATTCTTCAAGGCAGCAGCCCAGCTCCCAGTTCCAGCACCAATTTAGAAGCCCAAATCAAACCCAGGTCCAGCCCAAAGTCCAAAACAGCAGAAGCGCACCAGCCCAGCAGCCAGACCTTCGTCCCTATCCTCAGCGACGCGACACGCCTTCTGCGAACAACAATCGCTGGTGGCTTCGACGGACGAGCGACGGATCCACGGTCGGTGAAGCTCCGGCGTCGGCCAGAAACCTTCGGAGGAGACTTCCAGGCGGACGGCGACTCCAGCTACGGATTCCGGCGACAGCTTTCGGGCGGGCGGCGGATGAACTTCCAGGCGACAAATCTGGTCTGTGGCCTCCGGAAATCAACGACGGGCACTCGGGCAGAGAGGTACGAACGAAATTTCGAACTTCAGTAAGAAATCGATTTCAAGCTCCAATCGGCGAACATCGGAAGACGGCGGTTGGCGGCGGCGGACGGCGGCAGACGGCGGTTCCCGTCTCTGATACCACTGTAAGGATCGTTTATTTTTCCGGCTCAGGTCTCCAACCACTCTAGACTAAACTAACACACACCACTCTAGGGCTAGGCCACAAAATCTCCCTTGTTTACTCACTCTTCTTCACTCCACAAAGGAACTCTCACACAAGGAAAGGAAGAAGGAAGACACTGCTCTCAAGAATATCTCTCGCAGGCTTATTTCTCAAGGAAGAAGGATACTCAAATCAAAGATATTGAAGGCTGCCTGCCTAATCGGGTGTGGCAAAGGACAATCACAGGTAAGACAAAAACAAAGGGTGCAACGGACAGCAAGCAGTGGGACTGACTCCAGGTAAGTCAACAAGCATCAAATGAGTTGATTTCAACTAAGGGAATCAAAGTGGGAGTAAACATGGGTGCAAGTCTTAATAATAAAGTGGAAGGGAGGCCTCGGTAGGACCAATACCTCCAACAGTTTTCAATATCAATAGCTCTTTCAGATAGCTTCAAGCCTTCAAGAATCAAAACGTTTAAGGGAAAAAAATTGATTTGCTTTCAAATTAATACAAAGTAAAAGATAAAGAAGTTTCTTGTTGTTCAATTGATGCACTTAAACAGCTTTTTGACATTACCTGTATGCACGTGCTAAGCTACATTGAGGAAAGATCATTTAGGAGATTTGTTGACGCTTGCTTGGAGGAGACAGTAGTTGTTTATGTGGACCATATGCTTATACACGTAACTAACTATAAAGGAGTTCTTCGAATGAATTACCTTCTATGCTTTTGACTATCTATTTTCATAAGCTACTACAGTGTATAGAGTCCTTAAGTCCTAAAGACTCATTCTTCAATTTTGATTTCAAGAAACTATTTTGTCTTGCTGAATTATACATAGATGATTTTAGTTCAAGAGAAAAATATGAACTAAATGAACAACTTGTGCCCCTCCAAGACGCTCCTCAACTACCTATCATCGTTCTTACATTACAATCACCAGTATTCCATCATCTACCGCTACTCTTCATCTTCAGCCACCCGAAAAAAAATGCTTGTCGCTATATGTTAATCATGTCTATTTTTTCACTGTATCTGGATTTTGTTTAAAATGCTTTGATGTAGAGATAGATTCGAGATGAATAATGGTAGTTACTTAAAACTTAAAAGACTTTAGTTTTAATATGCCTATCATGCATTCATATAAATGCCTCTGTAAGATTTTGTAATTCTAGTCATTCTCTCGGGGTCTACATAAGGCGGCTATATTTGGCTGAATACGAGTGAAAACAAATTTGTTTAATTTTTTTAGTGTAAGTTTTTGCATTTTTCTGATCTATCCCACCTGGCTCTAAGGCCACATCATTCTCCAAACTGTTCACTTGCTTTGTGGAGCGCCACTGAAGCGCCATGACGCCATCAACACCAGCCCTAATAAATGAAATAACAGAGTTTTTAATTGGTAGAGATTGTTGTCGAATCTGTCCAATTCTGATGAGTTGATTAAATATATTGATTTTTTGGCTGATTTATTATTCATTTCATGACCCATAGACCTAAATCCAAAACTTAATCAACAAAAACCCTTACTTTCAAAGTTATAGCTGCACTAAGTCAGAAAGACGCGATCAAGGAACACATGAACCTGGTTTTTGGCAGCAGCACATCACAGAACACTGTAGAACATGAAGATGACCATATTGCAGAAACTTGTTTAATTTGTTCCTCTTCCTTGAACGACACTCGAGGTTTGCTTGCCTTTTTATTTACTGGGTTTTAAAACATTACTGGTTTATTACCTGCACCCTCCGTCCCAAAAAATTCTTCCCACTTACCGTCTATGGAAAGTTTTGTGTGGCTAACATTCATTTACTTTTATCTTACTCAACCACAACCATACATTTCCACTTTATTCCACTTTCTTAATAAGCGTGCCAAGTCAAAGTTGGAAGTATTTTTTTGGGATGGAGGGAGTACTTTGTTTCTGTAATTGTAAAATTTTATACTTCAATATTTTTTGTTTAGAATGTAGTGATACATTAACATCTTACGTTCTAATAGGGTTGATTTTTTACGAGTGTTAATGATTTTGTCTATTTTTATGTGCTTTAGTTATTTTCATTTTTTATTCTAAGGTTCTATACTCAATTATTGTATGAATTTTACTGATTTTTAAGGTATTATTGCCTTGCCCCTTATACACCCTTGTGGTAGGACCCTTCCCCGGACCCTCGCTTTGTTGAGATGCCTTCATGCACCTTTTTTATACTTTAGTTTTCTAACTCCTTGTTCTGCATTTGATATTCTGTACTTCAATCTTGTGTACCTTTTAGAATGAATGACACGCTCAATGATCACACTTTTGCAACACATATTGTCGTTGGTGCATGGTCTGCTGCACTCAGCAGTGCCTTGACTTACCCACTTGATACTTTTAAGGTCCTTTTACAGGTTTGAAATTAGAGTGATTCCGCTTTCTAGTGAATATTATGGTTTTTTGTATGTCTTGTTCTTGATATTGTTGATGTGCTGGTTCCATGGAACACAGGTAGGTTCAAACCCCAACAAAAAATTGACCACTTCACAAGTTCTTTACAGGGTTAACACTTTATCAGGAAGTTTAGGTAACCCCATCAATCTCCAATCTTACATGATACAAAGTTATCTGCACATGAACAACCACATCTCGTTTTTGTTTGTGTGCTAAAGCTCTGGATAATGTGGCCTGTGTTTGGTGAACATTGTAGGGTTGTACAGCGGTCTAGGCTGGCTTACAGTTGGAAGAACACTTGGTGTTGGTACTCGTTTCGCCATTTATGAACTATTGACCTCATTCTACAAAGGTATTATGCTCTTCTTCCTCTGTATGGTCATATATCTGTGTAGTTCATAGAGTCAATTGAAATGTTATCTGTGGTGAAGTGAGACTTTGGAGACTATCACGGATTAAGTATCCCTGGTTGAGATCCTTGCAGTTTTTTCTCTCATTACCTGTGGTGTGTTCGACCGAAGCCCTAATTTAAAACCTGAAAAAAGTTGCGGGTGCATTACTTTAAGATCCAACAACCGAACCAAAGATGATGGGTAATAAGTTTCTTTGAAATAAAATTGCAAAATGAACGTTTTTCAAATGCTGAGTATCCATGCATATATAATTTATTGCTGTATTTAATGTTGGGATCAGGGTCAAATAGACCCTTCAACTATTTCCAATCCATCATTTAAGCCTTTCTACTAAAAAAGCATCATATAAGCATGCTTACTATTGAAAATGTAAAAAAATAAAATATAAAATGTAAAAACCATTCAAATAGATGTAGAATATACAAATAATTACAAAATTTCTAAAATATTGAATTTGACATTCTGAAATTTTCACAATTTTTATCTACATTTATTCAAATTTGAACAATAATTTAGAGTTTTTAATATAAAAACCTACTATTACAGGTCAAAACTGAATAAATGGCCAAAGTGGTCAATTTTTTGAAGTAAACGTACTTATATGATACCTTTTTTAGTACACGAGCTTAAGTGATGGATTGGAAATAGTAGAAGGGTTTATTTGACCCTTTTCCCTTTAATGTTATCTGCTAACAATCATAACATATTTGGTGTGTTTGAATATTAACATTAGCATATCGTGTTCACTCTACATACTATCGAATCAGATGGTAGGAAGGACAATTACGTGTCAGTCTCTGAGGCTTTGTTGGCAGGAATTGCTGCTGGGGCGGCAGAATCACTAACAACTTCCCCGTTTGAACTTATCAAACTCCGTGCTCAGGTGGCTTCTGCATTTCAGATTCCACAAACAGCATCAAACATAAAAGCTAATGATGTTTCTCCATTGATTGGGAGGTTACTTCATGGATATTCCCCAGATAGCAGGATCTTGAACAATTCTGTTGGCCTTCTATCTATTTTGAGTGACAAGCATCCCAATTTAGTTAAGGACATGAGGCAATATCCATGGATGATGACTGGGTGTGGAAGACCTCCTTCTGTTTATCATGTTAAGCGACCATCACAGATTATCTCTCTTGAAGGATGGCGTACTTTGTGGAAAGGGTTGAGGTCAGGAATTGTTCGAGATTCTGTTTTCAGTGGCATATTCTTTTCAATTTGGCAACTCATGCATGAAGCAATGCTTACTTGGAAAGCTGTTGGGATGACTCCCATACCCAGGTTATGCTTTTATTTATTTATTTATTTATTTATTTATTTATTACATCCATTAATGTTGAGAAATTATGTTGGACAATAAACATGTCAATTTCAATGCACAGAAAGTGAGAAAACCAATCTCAAGTTTTCTTAACTGAAAATTGTACCGGAAAGAGTACAGAATGCATTGTATTTCTTATTTGCTACTCCGTATTTTATTGTGGTAAACTTCTATTTTTTTCCAGGCACGATGATGATGTTGGCCCGTTATCTCCTTTCTATGTTAGTCTCGCAGCTGGATTTTCTGGTTCAATTGCTGCCGCTGCGTCACATTCATTTGATACTGCAAAAAGTCGTTCGCAATGCACTGTGGTGCCTAAGGTGTGTTCTCTGGTGAAAAAATAAAATAAAAGTGATGATTTTCTTGCAATGCCCCTATCTTGCTATGTTAGTCATTGGTTCGATTATAATTGCTTTAATTGTGATATAAGATTTTGTGAGCAGTACTGCATTGTGTCGGTAAGCTAATATTTCTTTCTTAGCATATATCTTGGGCCTCATGACTGGACCTGATTAACTTGGGTCGATCAGCTTGATTTTGCTGAAAAAACATCCAACAGGGCTGATTTTGCTTATTATGTTTTTTCAGCCAAAAATGATCATATGCGACCTTTTGGCCTATTGCCTTATTTGTCTTATCAAAGGCACATTTGCCCAAATGCTCATCTTTCTGTTTTATACTCATTAATTGAAGCTACTATTACATACTCAGATACCCTCTTAGGCCATTCCACTCTTGATAATTATTCATTCCAGTCATTTCAGACTGGCTGGAATTTTACCAAAACACTTCTACGTCAGTCATTTAGCAGTCACCATACAGGCCCTAATGAAGACAGTTTAAGTTTATACTCCCTCCGTCCCTAAATGTTTGTCACACTTTGACTTCACAAGTTTTAAGAAGATGAATTTGACTTCACACTGTAGCGACACTGTTTCACACCGTAGCGGCACTGTTTTGGCACTGTTTTGCACTGTTTGACACTGTTTGGTATAGATTTGTTTACCAAATAAGGAAGTTTAAAAAGTATGACAAACATTTTGGGACATCCGTTTCGGGAAAGTGTGACAAACATTTGTGTTTGGTTGGAGGAAATAGGAGGAAAGGTTTAATGAAAATATTTTCGCAATTTACTTTTATTTGATAGCTTACTTAAAAAAATAGATACATGTCTAACTATTGTGAATATTACTCCTATGGTCATGAGTCGTAATTTTATTTTATTTGATCTTTTACTTTTTTAATTTATAATTTTTCATTTTTCAGTTTGGAATTTTTTAATTTTTAATATTATTTTTTAATAATTTTTATTTTTAATTTTTAAAATTTTTAATTTTAAATTTTTTAATTTTTAATTTTTTTTTTTTTTTTTTAAATTTTTTAATCTTTATAATTTTAAGTTTTTTTTTTTAATTTTTCAAAACTTTTTATTTTTTACCATTTTATATTATAACGTTTTGTTCATTCACGTAGGAGATGGATAGTTTGTGGTTATCAACACGTTTCCTCCGAAATACCCCGATTTGGGGGGTTTAGAATGGGAGGAGTGGAGGATTTTGAAAGTCTTCCACTTTCCTTCCCTTCCCCCCTATTTCCTTCAACCAAACACACACACATCCTCACTTTCCTCCCCTCCCCTCCGAAACCCTCCTTGTTTGGTTCAAAGGAGGGGAGGGAAGGGGAGAGTCAAGGAGGGAAGGGAATGGAAGGGGAAGGAAGGATTTTGATAAAAATTTGTGTTTGGTTGGAGGAAATAGGAGGAAAGGTTTAATGAAAATATTTTCGCAATTTACTTTTATTTGATAGCTTACTTCAAAAAATAGATACATGTCTAACTATTGTGAATATTACTCCTATGGTCATGAGTCATAACTTTAATTTATTTGATTTTTTACTTTTTTAATTTTACAATTTTTCATTTTTTAATTTGGAATTTTTGATTTTTATATTGATTTTTTATTTTTTTTTTATTTTTAATTTTTAAAATTTTTAATTTATAATTTTTAAATTTTTTAATTTTGAAAATTTTTAATTTTTTAATTTATTAATATTTAAATTTTTAAATTTTTAATTTTTTTAATTTTTCAAACTTTTTGTTTTTTACCTTTTTATATTATAACATTTTGTTCATTCACGTAGGAGATGGATAGTTTGTTGTTATCAACACGTTTCCTCCGAAATACCCCGATTTGGGGGGTTTAGAATGGGAGGAGTGGAGGATTTTGAAAGTCTTCCACTTTCCTCCCCTTCCCCCCTATTTCCTTCAACCAAACACACAAGAATCCCCCACTTTCCTCCCCTCCCCTCCAAAACCCTCCAACCAAACAGGGCCTTAGGGACGGAGGGAGTAGTTTGTTACTTACTTTGATTCTTTTTGTGGTTACGCCCATTGGTGGGCCAAGGCTGCCAAGCCGGGCCATGATCTACCCTAAGTTCGTTAAGAAACATATTCCAAGTGTAGAACTTTTACTATAGAAAAGTTTAATGGATACCCCACCCCTTATGGGCATAACAAAAAAAGTATCAAAATAACCAAATACGTATATAGGTATATGTGTGTCTGACTGCTATTTTATCCAATTGCCAGGTGGATCTGACTCTGAGACTGAGTTAAACCAATTTTCTCATGCTTTCTTTCTTTTTTGAATAATTTTTTATGCAGTATTTATCAAAGGAGAGAAAGTTTCTCAAATGGCAAATTCCGGGGAAGCGATTTGAGAGATGGACAGGAATCCACCCATCAGATAGAAATTTGCTATTTCGGGGAATTTCCTTGCGAATGGCTCGCAGTGGACTTGCATCGTTTTTGCTAGTAGGAAGTTACTTTTTTGGCATTGATCAGTTCTCTCTCTTGAAGTAGGGAGTTTGACAGCTGCAGAATACATCATTGGTTGGTTTTATCCTATAATTTGATTGAAACATGTAACAGTCTAATTCAAAACATTTTTTTACATTTATTTGGGGTACACCGTTGATATGAACTGAGCATTTATGCTATAGAACAAAGAGATGTGTTTCAATAAGCTAGTTACAAATTGTGATTGATAGATTACTTCTCTTCACATGTAGTACCCTTCATGGTTATTAGTATTTTTGAAAAACACATTTGTTGTTTAAATTATACTTGTTGGTAGTTACGTTTTAATTAATAATTCAAATAGAGTATAACCGATAGAGTGGGGTGTATAATTTGTTGCTTAAATTATATTTATCTGCTTTCAATAAATAGGTTCATATCAATCAAACTTGTTGAAAGCGGTCAAAAGCGTCATTAAGCATTTAAGCAACAAAGCACATGCGACTATGCAAGTGCTCAACCTTTGTCTGGCTTTTGAGGAGCGTCTCTTTGAGAGAATCCAACTTTTTCAAGTTTGAAACATTTCAGCCGGCCGCCTTTCAACCTTGTTGTAGAGAGCTTTTTGAAAGTTCTGCAGCTCACTTTTACTCTGTTTTTTTGAAACCTTTCAGCCTTATTACAGAGAACTAGTTACTTGATTAATTATTATATTTTGCTTTATTCCACTAAATCAAAACCCAGTTTATTGATTAATTAATTTTTAGTTTAATCCAATTTATTCCCCTAAGTAATAAGGTCTTTGAGCCTTATTACTTGCTTATGTCACTTGAAGAAGATGAACCGTAATAAACATGCCAATTTTGATATATGCTTAATAATGCTTATGAATTTTAATTTACAGAATGGGGAATTCAAGGCCCACAGTCTATGCTTTATGTTCCAGAATTAAAGCTAAACTTTATAGTCTTATGTGTGACTTTTCATAAGTAAATTGTACAATCTAATAAGTTTCAATTGCTCTTTGTACACTTGCTTGATTATATATTTGTGAAACATGTATATGTAGAATTGTAGACAAAAATGTCTGGAGAACAATCTAAAAGTCAGGATCCTCCATGGGAGCATGGACTAAAGGTCACGCCAAACGTGTGCAATCCATGTATTGTGATAAAATTACATGTGGTGGTATATATCGTCACAAACAACATCTTTCCAGTGGCTTTATATGTGTTAGGGCCAATAGGACTTGTTCTAACTTCTAAGTGTCCTTAAGAAGTCAAAATGGCCATGAAAGAAAAGAAAAAGAAAAGAAGACACAAAAGAGAACTTTTCTACCCCTGATTTTGATGATGAAGATGTTGAAGAGATGGAGTTTGGAGATGCTACGAGCAAAACATCATCAATCAAAGGGCCCATGAATTTGTATTTCAAAAGAACATGTAACTTTGAGGAGGGCAAAAGGAACATAAGTAACTCTAGCAACTTGTAAGAAAGAGTTGTTGGTGCATTTGCATGATGGATGTATGAAGCTGGATTGCCCTTTAACCGTGTCAAATTGTCAATTACAAGACATTACAAAGTTCCATTGATGTTATGACACAACATGGATCCGACATGAAAGCTTGTACTTATCATGAAGTTCGAGCGTCATATCTTAAAAACGAAGTAGAACATGTGAAGGAGTTTTTGAAACCACATGAAGATATTTGCAAGCAATACGGTTGTTCATTGACGATGGATAAGTGGAATGACAGAAGGAATTACACTTATATCAATGTGTTATTTATTTGATCATTTAGGTCTTATTTTATCCAATCTGTTGAAGTAAGTTTGAATAGTTTGAATGGAGAGAAGATGCTTGAGCTCAAACTGTTCAAATTATATCAGACAATGCTTCTGAAAATGTCAAAGTTGGTAAGTTTATTTCATACTTGAACTCATAATCTCTAATATATAATTTAGTTGAATTTAATTATTTTTTCAATTTTCTTATCACTTAGGCAAGGATTTAATGGAGAAGTACCCGTTAATTTATTAGACACCTGAGCTGCTCATTGTATCGATTTGATGCTCAAAGATATATTTGAGTTTAAGAACTTTCAGACAACCTACAAAAGAGCTCTCAAATTGCAGTCTACATTCATTCAAAAATAAAATTGCCTATCTTCTTTAGGAAATTCACCAGGAAGAGAGAACAGGTGAAGTTTGCTAAGACAAGATTTGCCACAACTTTCTTGAAGGAGCACAAGAAGAAGTTGATCAAACTTTTAAGTTGTGAGGAGTTCTTTATGAGCAACTATTCCAAGGAAGAGACAACAAAGAAGTGTGGTAGAATTGTCCAAATGTCATCCTTTTGGAATACATTTTAAGAGGCACTCAATGTTGGAGGACCACTTATATCAACACTTCGAATGGAGATTTGAAGCTGGCTATGGGATATGTCTATCCTATAATGGAGTTGACAAAAGCAACAATAGCCAAAACCTTCAACAATAACCAATCCAAGTACAAGAAAATGTTTGACATAATAGACACGAGATGAACTTCTCAACTCCGTCAGCATTCCACACAGTTGTTTTCTTCTTGAACCTGGATTTCTTTCGATTTTCAGGCGAGTCACAAGTATCTTCCAACATAGATTTAACTGAAGTGGAGATTTTGGTCTCAAATGAAGAACTTCAAGGAAAAATTTCTAGTGAGGTGTCCATTTGGTAATTAGGACGTGGACCATTTAGGAGTTTATTTGTGAAGAAACAAAGAGGCGTTAAGCCCCCAGGTAAATGTCTATTGATCAATCTATATTATTTAACAAGTTATTACAATTTAGAGTGACTATAACATTATAAATTTATTTTATAGTTGATTGGTGGACATACTACAGTGCTAGGGCTCACCATTTAAAGGAATTTGCAATTAAGCTTTTGAGTTTAGCAACAAGTGCATCAGGATGTGAGAGAAATTGGAGTGTATTTGAACATGTAAGAATAGTTATTCTAATGCACGAGTGTAGAACTATTCCATTTTTTTCCACGCACTTGATTAACTACAAAATGTAAACTACCTAACAGTTGCATTCCAAGAAGAGAAGTCGTCTAGAGCACAATCGCCTTAATGATTTGGTTTTTATTAAGTACAATAGGGCTTTGAGACGTCGTTGGGAAATGCATGATTCTATAGATTCTATTTGTTTGAATTACATAGACATGTCAAATGATGGTTGACTAGTGCAGTTGATGATGCAAATGAAAAGTTGGTCTTTGATTATGAAGATAATTTGCCCTGAGAAATAATGCGAAGTTTTCTGGGTTACATGATACACCATATTCTCTTAGACACAATTTTAATTTAAATGGAAAGATAAAGCGGAAAGTTTCAAGTCCAATGGAAAAGAAAAAGCATCCACCCGTATACTCCCTCCATCCCGCTAAGATTGTCCCATTTTTCATTCTCGGGAAATCTCACTAAGATGGTCTCATCTAAAATTTTGTAAAGTTTGTATGGTTTTAAATCAGTTTTACTTTATTCTTACTTTATTAATTCAATATCAACAACATAAACTCACTTTTCTTAATAATAGTGTCTCCCTTTTGTCCCAATGTTAGTGAGACGAGGGGTAGTATAATATACTTAAACTAAATAATGATGATTAAATATCATTAGATTATCATTATTATCATTATCACTATTATAGTAATATTATTATATACTACTACTTTTATTTTACTGTTATTTGTAATTTATACTGCCCATTTTCTGCGTCTCACGTTGGTTAGACACAATTATTAATAATGTAGTTGAAAAAGTAAAAAATATGATTGAGATTTGAGTATAGTAAAGTGAAATGCTTCAGACTACACATTTCTTTCCAAAAAGAAAACGTGACACTTATTTTGATTAATCAAAAAGAGAAAGTAGGAAATGTAAAATGGGACAAAAGTAGTATTTTGTCATTGAACAATTTTCATATAGCAAGTAACAAGTAGATATAATACGTGTAATTTTTAAAACTTAAGTGTGTTTTTGCCATATAAAAGGTAAAAGTTTGATGTTTTTATTAATATTATATTTATACATGTATTAGTTTAGAAAAAACTAAAAAATATAAACAAATACTCCATAATGAAAACTGATTTGGTTTGGTTCTGTTCAGTTTGAACCATTTTTTTACCAACAAAACTGATTTTAACCCGATTAATATCCGGGTATCGACTTTTAGGTTGGAAAATTTGACAATAATTATCCAACCTTTGACCGATCTGCTCATAACAATCACACCTTTACGTATTCCCAGAATAATCTCACCTTTACACCCCATCTTTTTTCATTGGACCCAAACCGGTTGATGACCTACTATACCACATTTTTTTGGAATACTTACATAAATAATCTGACCTTTCACAAATCTGCTCAAAATAGTCCAATGTTCTATTTTTTCTTTTCTCTCCTTAATTTTTTTCTTTCATTATTTTATTCATACACTTTTTTTATTCATTTTTCCTTTTGGAAGGAAATTTTACAAAAAAAAAACACTCATAATAGAGTGAGAAATAAAATAATCTATTTGGGAAGGAAATTTTACAAAATAGTCTCATGTTTCATTTTTTCTTTTTCTCCCTAAAACTTTTTTCTTTATTTTTATCCCTAGATAGTTTTTTATTCCATTTTTCATCACTTTGTTCTTATTTCTTTTCCATATTTATTATTTTATTTCTCACTCTATCAAGAGTGCTGTTTTGCAAAATTTCCTTACCAAATAGTTTTTTTGTCCTTTTCTTTTTCTTTCTGTATTTTTTTTTATTTCATTTATCTTTTATGTGTTCTTCTTCTTAATCATTCTTTTATTATTAAAGATCTTTTTCCTACTCTATTTTTTGTTATATTTTCTTTTCATTTTCACTTATCCCCTTTTTTCTTTTTGTTACTTTTTTATGTATTTTCTTCTTTCTTGTTGCTATCTTAATTCCACCATCAATATTTTTTTTTCCTTTCTACATTATCGTATTTTCTAAGTAAGTCCACCTATTAATTTCTTCAACTATGGGAAATATTCTATGTGACAAAAAGATTACGGAAAAAATTGAAATAAAAATAAAACATTCGGGAAAATGTTAGTAAGGAAATTCTATGCATTTTTTTACATGTCCCAAATGTTTTATTTTGCTTGGAATATTATTTTTCCGATCTTTTTAACACATAGAGTTTTCCCACAATTGATAAAATTAATTGGTTAATTTACTAAAAAAATACGATAATGAAGAAAGGAGAAAAAAAATATAGATGGTGGAATTAAGATAATAAGAAGAAAGACAAGAAGATAGAAGAAAAAACATTTAAAAAAGTAACAAGAAATGAAATATAACAAAAAGTGAGTGGGGAAAATATCTTTAATAAAAAGAGATTGACTAAGAAGAGAAACATAAAAGGGAAATGAAACAAAAATACGAGAAGAAAAAGAAAATGACAAAATATTGCATTTAGGAAGGAAATTTTACAAAAAATAGTCTCCTTATAGAGTGAGAAATAGAATAATAAATATGGAAAAGAAATAAGAATAAAAGGGTGGAAAATGAATAAAAAAAGTGCCCATGGATAAAATAAAAAAAGAAAGAAAAATTTAAGAGAGAAAAAGGAAAAAAAATGAAACATGAGACTGTTTTGAGCAGATTTATGAAAGGTGAGATTATTTATATAAGTTTTCGTGGAAAAATTGCAAAAAACATGATATAGTAGGTAATTAATAACCGCTGAGAGTCTAATGAAATAAAATGAGATGCAAATGTGAGATTATTCTGAGATTGTTTAAAAGTGGGATTATTATGAGAACATCAATCAAATGTGGGATTATTCTTGTCAATTTTTCTTTTGAGTTTTATTACTACCCCGTCCCGGTGGACTTTGCCAAGTGCAAAGTAAGTGAGAAATAAGTATAGTAAAAACTGTGTGGTTGAGATTTGTGCAGAGAAAAGAGAAATATGAAGAACCACAAATTAGTTACTACGGAGTATAATAAGAAAGTGAAAAAGTTTTTTGGGACAACAGAAAAGGAAAATTAGACAAAGTCTAACGAGACTATGGAGTAATTCGAAGGCCCAATAATAAAAGCAAAGCAAAATAAAATCTCTTTCTTGCTATCTACGTGAATTTCCCCGACTAAAAGAATCCATAACATGACAACAACGCTAGTTAATGACTCTGGTTTTGCATTATAAAAGCTTGACCAAGGTCAACGTGACGATTGAGCAGCGGGATATGGCAGGCAAAATGTTTTTCTCTGTTTCATCTCAATTTCAGAGCATTCCCGGCGAGGGCAAACTATATATAAATAGCGCCGGTAGGCACCTTATTATTCCACTTTGGATTTCAGAGTGAAGCTTTTTAGCAGCTTCACTCGACTTTCTGTTCTCGTTCGAACCCTAAGGCAGCCGTTCTGCATTTCCGGACAATGTCGCGTATCATCTCCAACCTTTTATCAATCTGTTACTGCTTCAGCGTTGTCTCTAAGATGTTCTGAATCTGAGCTCGTTCGATTCTCTGTTTACAGATTTTGTTTCTGCGAAATCAGGCTCATATCGGTAATATCGCTCCTGCTTTCAACCTATTCGACTTGAATTCTTCTATGTCGTTCTTATATATAGTGCCCACCGTTGTGCTTATATATGGTCAATGTACCTTTGTTAGTTCATCCGTATAATCTTGTGAAATTCTACTGATTTCAGTTGTAAAGGTTTTTCCTTTTCTCGCATACATTCAGTTGTTTTCGTATACTCTCTTACTGCAGATTCAGGAAAGTGTAATTTGAGAGGTGGACGTTTGCGATTCAGATTTCTAATGAATTTAATTACTCAATTTTTTATTACAATTATTATGTCCATGTGGTTGCAGAAAAGCATTCATGGAAAATCTGTACAGCGGTCACAATGAACCAAAAACTCCGACGGTCAAGTACTTCGACGGCAATGCGATGCCGCTCAGTATAGGCCGCGCCCATTTTGACGTTCCGATACCGTTGAGTCCAGTTTTCGATCCCTACTTCTCGTCGGAAAGCCCTAATACACCGAATTCGATGTCTCTGTTCTACCGCCGGTCCGGCTCTTGTGTGCCGTTTGACCTAAGCGTTGGAAACGACGGCGGTGGCAGAGCAGGAGGATTTCGATCGCCGCTGGCTTCGATTGAGAACCGGGTGACGCAGCCGTCGCGGTCACCGGTGACGATGTTCAAGACTCCGGTGAAAATCGAGGAGGATGTGATTGTCATGGACGGCATTCTCGTTAAACCGAAGGTCGGTAGTACCAGATCCAGGCTGTCGCAGACGCCATCAGATTCCGGTGATAAGAACAGCTTCTACAAGAGGGACAAGTGTTTGTTCTGGGAGGATTCTGGTTCTTGCCGCTTAGGTTCAAAATGCCAGGTTCATCTCTTGCCTTTCTTTGTGCGAATTTGACTTTAAGCCTTTGTATGTTTTAGTCATCTTGACCGCCACATTAAACTTCTCGTATTGAAATTTATCTAAAAAAATTCAACAGTTTGCACATGGCCAGGAAGAATTGCGCCAAGCTCGTCTCACCACTAAAAGCAATAGAAATGAGGTGGTGAAGGAAATTACTGAATCCTTTCATTTATACAATTGTTTGAAATTTCAAGATTCTAGAACAGTAGAACCTGTAATTGTATTTATCTGCATATTAAATCCATGACAGATCTGCAAGTTATCCAACATGGGAGCATGTTCATATGCTATCAAATGCAATTATTTTCATCTTCAAGAGCCAGATAAGGAACCAGAGGAGTCAGAGAAGGAGCCAGAGAAGGAGGTCATACCAGCAGTTCTATCCCCAGCAGCTGGAGCTAAAGTGGACATCCCTGTGACACCAACTGAATCCAAACAGCCAGCTAATGGAGGGCAAAGCAGCACCCTTACAACTGGTTCTTCTGCTGCACAAACTTCTGGAAACACTGGCTGGTCTCCACATGATGATGGTATCAATATCTCCTTGCCTGCAAAAGCTCCAATAGAGGAAGATGCTGATGCTTATATTCAGCGTGTTCTGTATGGACCTTCTGGTGAAAGATTGCCTGTTTTCGAGAAGATTTGCCCGAAGTAAGGATGTCTGTCGTTGTCCTATCCTACATGCTACAAGTAGTTCCTCTCTGCTACACCAATTAACCACAACAAAGAGGAAAAGGCACATAATTTTTTGCTAACAAACTGAAAGCACATTATACCAAAAGAAGGTGAACACTATTTTTTTGTCATATATTCAATGTGCATTATCCGTCTATATGAAATTTTGATCGATCTGGTATACATACAACCAGAAAAACTTTGCTGAAAAAAAAAATTTCATTTGCATGATAAATGCATATATAGTAGAACTTCAATCTCTTTCTCCTTGCTGCACTTGGTATGGTTGTGTTATTGATCTTTGAAGAATCTATTCATGCAGATACTCATTTCTAGAGTACTTGCTAGAAACAGGATTAATCATAAGAACAAAGGGCATTCTAAGCTCATCTGTTGGGTAGAGGAATAAAATTGTTGAGAATATTTATTACTCCGTATGTTGTTAGTAGGGTTGTAAACGAATCAAATAATTTGTGCTTGATTCGCGATTCGAATTCGTATAAGACAATTCGAATTCGGAAAATTCAAATAAGAATATTAAATTTGATTCGATTTGTTATCAAATACAAATATGAATATCAGTGTATTCGATTCGAATATTAATCAAATAATTTGATTAACAATAGTGGTAATATTAACAATAATATTTATAATAATAGTAATAACAATATAACTTTTAAAAGATAGCAATACCCTCAAAGTGTAGCCCACACACACACACACACATACATACACACACACACACACACACACATATATATATATATAGGGAAGAGTTCAAATAAAAAGACCTCTTCCCGTGTAAAGTGCGAAAATACGCACTTTTGCATTTTTCGCTTTCACTTTTGCGTGTTTCTATTGCACTTTTTCGCGGTAACGAAAAAGTGCAACATATTTACGAAATTGCCACCGCGATTTTGGTCGAATTTTGTGCATTTTTGGCTCATTTTGAGCCATTAGATGTGGAAATGAATGCACAAGATTCATTCTCACTTTGCATGGGAAGAGGTCTTTTGTATTTGAACCATCCCCTATATATATATATATATATATATATATATATATATATATATATATATATATATATAGGGGAGGGTTCAAATACAAAGAGGTGTTCCCATGCAAAGTGAGAATTAATCTCGTGCGTTCATTTTGAGATCTAATGGCTCAAAATGAGCCAAAAGTGAACTAAATTTGATCAAAAACGCGGTTGCAATTTCGTAATTAAAACGAAGTTTTTTGCCATCGCGAAAAAGTGCAACAGAAACACGCAAAAATGCAACGTGGAGAAGAAAAAGTGCAATTGTTCGCACTTTGCATGGGAGAACCTCTTTTTATTTGATATATATATATATATATATATATATATATATATATATATATTCCAAGCCCATTTGTAGTAAATCAAAATATAAATACGAATACAAATCAAATTTTTGATTCAAATGTCTTTCAAGAACAATACACATAATTATGCATTCAATTGGAAGAATAAAATCAGAATATATAGTTTATTTCACATATTATAAGTATAATTTCTAATATGTGTATGTTAGTGTTTATTTCGAAAGGTTTGAAACACTACTAGAAAAAATCACATTTGTTGCGGTTATTTTTTGGCATTTGCTGCGGTTCCGAACCGCAGCAATTGAGGGGACAACAATTGTATGAATTCACATTTGCTGCGGTTCAGAACCGCAACAAATAGATCTGTTTAATTTTTTTTATTTGCTGCGGGTAATCCGGAACCGCATCAAATGGTTGAATTTTTTCAACTTATTTGATGCGTGTATGTAGAACCTACATTTCCTTTAATACCAACAAATGCACAATCAATATCCATTATAGTCCCAAAACAGACCCTGTACATATCACATTCACAAATCTTTCATATCATTTAACGAAGTGCCAATAATGATACTTGTTGAGAATAAAAATCACCAAACACATCCAATACAATAAAATGTTTAATTAAAAAAATACTTGGATTACATGTTTAGCTAGTATAAAGTTTACAAAATGTTATCACAAACATAGATGATCCATACGTCTCGAACTTCACCGATTTCATCAATTGACAATGGCTCATCTTTGAAGTGTTCTTGTACACCTAAAAGTAATACAAAATTTCAAGTACTAGTTAATTAAAATATTTGTTAGCATAAAAAAATAAAAAACTAGCTAATATTTGGAGTGGAAAATATTCAACCAAGAAAATTGGTCAGTCAACAACACGTTAATAAACAGTTCAATAAGATACAAACTCATTCACTCAAGCACAATATATCCACCCGATCATAAAATGTACTTGAAATTAAGTATAAAATGTAAGTGCTCCATATTTTGACCATCACCAATACACTTTACCACATCTTACATGAATCGCATGACATAGTATCCACACTTCAATCCACCTGTTTGTTTCGCACACTGAAACATAAAGACACACATCGAAAGACATAGTTTCAACAATTCAAACCACACTAGTATTTCAAAGAAATATACAAATTTAACACGATACTTAATAGATGACTCAAAGTACATATATACTGATTAATACCTTCATTTTCTTCCAAATCATTTTTTGCTTATTTTCACCATCACCACACATATTTCGAAAAACACTATAACGAAAACATTCAAAATTAAAGCAAAACAATCATAAAATAATGTGAATACAATTTTGACGAATCTAAACAATAACCTAACCTGCTAAACAATGACATGATTAATAAGCGGTGCATTGGACTAGTGCGAAGCGAATCATACATAAAGATCATGCCACGTGAGATCCATACCACAAGCAATACCCAATGATAACTACACGAGTAAGTTGTGATGCACATTATGTAATAACTAATAAACACATAAACATATATATATATATATACAGATTTAGGTTCAAGTGAGAAAACCATCTTAGAAGAGAAATGAGAATTAATCATGACCCTTGATTTAAAAGATCATTTATATTAAAATTATTATACGTAGAGGGATAGGAATGTCTTTAACTCCTCTTTCTAAATTTCAAGTTTCAACTATACGGAGGTCATTAATTCATCTTACCAAATTCCATAGACTTTCCATTTTAATTAATTCTTGCTCACAATAACCCTTTCCTTAGCTTCCTTGTCTTCTTCTCTCGTCTTTCATATCTCAACTCACCATCATCCTCCACCATCTTCACCAATCTCATTAATTTAGTTACTCTTGAAGAACATGTTTGTAAACAACTTGATCTCCTACTTATATGGATAGCGTAAGTATCTTTCATTAACTTTATTTCTTATTTTAAATTTTCACACGTAAATAATAATATATTTTTTTATTATACATGCATGTAGTGATCTTAAATTCATATTTTCACAGTACTAATATTATTTATTTGTATTTTTTTTATTTGTTGCATCTCTTAGTTCATAGATGATCTTTGATTGTTTTTCTTTATTTGGCGATATTCGTTAACTCTATTTATTCAAAGTATAATTTTTGTTGTATTTGTACGTTGTTGTTGTTGTTACTTTTTAGAATCTTGTCACAAGAATTTTCATGCACTCTCACACTTATGCCTAAATGCAAATGCATATTTTCTTAATTTTCTCAAATATTTGCTGCCATTTTGTAATATTTTTTACTTTGTGTGTTACAACATTATATTCGTATTTAGCTCACTGACAAATGCACTAGAATACATAAATTTATGCACTGTCATCTTATTATTATGATCTACCGCGTACCATTTTTTATGCACTTAAACAATACATATTTTGCACTTTGTTGTCTTTATGTCTGCACTGCAATGGATTCACCAAGAAACGAACTCAGCAAGATGACCTATTATATTGAAGTGACATAGATGATAGTGATATATGTTGTCCCGATAATAAGGACCTAAAGCGGCATATGTGGAGTGCAATAAAAAGACACCACGATATGGAACATTTGTGATGCACTCGAAGAAATTGCAATTCATTCTATAGAAAGTGCATATGTAAAATGTTAGAATATGTTATATAGTAGTGCACTTTTGTATATATATATATATAATGTACATGATCATAGTGCATTTCATTTGTAAAAAATGTCAATGTAGTATTTTAAAAAGGTTGATATAATAGTGATGTTTTAAGTATTTAACATGCACAAGCTAGTTGTTTGTTCACACTCTTGAATATTTCTTTTCATTTTATTTTAAATCATTTTCATTTAAAAAATTGAAGTGCACACAAGCATGTCTAAAGTGCAGTATAATATGTGAAAAGTGCAAGCTAATGACATAAATATGCGATTTATAAAAGTGCAGATCAATTTATTAAAATGGCCGATATTCCTCTTAAAATTAATTCAATTGATGAATATATATTTGTGAAAATCCATAATTTTAATTAAATTAATGTTGCATAAAGTTTTGAATAAAAGTGTGTCTACTCAATACTAGAGTGCAAAACTTGTGATAAACCACGTAAATTATGATAAAGTGCATTTATACAAATCCATAAAGCAAACTTTTTATATACTAAATTTGAATATTTATGAGAATGTATTTAATTTAGGAGTAAATTATGTGATTAATACCAAAGAAGTAAAAGTAAATTTTGAAAACGTAGTTTAATAATCCAAATTGAAAACATACGTATTTTGGAAAATAAAATACGAGGGGAGTTTCATGTGGAGGAATTAACTACAACACCATGTATCATGCATGTGTGCAAGTGGTAAGTAAAAATTAAATGTTTAATAATGAGTTGTTCTAAATTATAGGAAGTGAGTAAACTCACGTATGTGTGCAAGTGGTAACTTTCCATGTAGGACATATGCTTTTCAACCGTTCACTTGATGCATTTTACATAAATGTCCTTTATTAATGAAACTTTAAAACTCTTTCCTTTTTACCTCAGAGCACACGTGCTATGGCCTCCAATTTTTAATCTCCAAATCTCCATTTTAAACCACACGATTTAATTGATGATTGGTTGGATTTAGTTCTCATTTCTCTCCTAAGAGAGTGTTCTAACCTGAACCAACCCCTATATATATATATATATATATATATATATATATATATATATATATATATATATATATATATATATATATATATCATTAATGTTAATAACTATGATAAATGAAATTAATATAAGTAGGTATGAATGCATACTTTTCGTAGTAAGGAGCAAGAATAATATCTACGCCAGAATTGCGAGATTCAATGATGGCTCAGCGTATGTACTCTATCACATCTTCTGGGTTATGGTCACATGAAGTTGCACAAATTGCATCTGGACACATCCATCCAAGTTGCGCATTTGTATTCAAACTCTCGGTAATGCTCTATAAAAAAATCAATTTAATATATAATGAAAATTGAACACCATAGTAATATAATAAGTAATGCAGTTATTATATCTTACTTGATAAATACTTGAATAATGGATGAGCTTCGCATAATAAGTTGCGCATTTGTATTCAAACATTCCGACATGCGTCAATCTTTTGGTACTCTAAACCCAAAGGGCACATGAGCTTCTTCGCATTATAATTTGACTTTGGCATTTCATTTCCGTCAGGTAGCATGTCATGTAATACTTCCAACAAGGATGTGAAACTTGCGTCGCCCCAATTTTTCTTGGCTTTCACATTATAAAGTGTTATCACGGCAGAAAGCTTTGTGTATTTTGTACACCCAGGATATAATGGTTTTTCTGCTGCTTGTGACAAACTTTCAAAAATACGTGGTCGTCCACTACAAAAGTCTTTGGCTCCACCCATCATCTCATCCATAGGATCTACTTCGTCACTCAGATCATCATCATCATCTTCTTCTTCTTCACCTTCACTTTCACCTTCACCTTCACCGTCACCTTCACCTTCACCTTCACCTTCACCTTCATTGTCTTCATTATTCACACCCTCAGCCTCAGAACGTGTCATATCATTTGCATCTGTTGTATCTTCTATATATACTCCTTTCTCACCATGCCATATCCATACATAGTATTGTTGTCTAAATCCACGTCGAATTAAATGTTCTCTGATAGTCTCTATTGACCGGAATGAATTTACGTTGGCACAATCCATACAAGGACAATATAACTCATCACAACCGGTCAATGCTCTATATTCTAAACAACGTTTACAGAACTCAACACCCCATTCATAAATTCCAATGTGTTCCGTTTATCATACATCCAGCTTCGACTCATCTTTACAAATAAAACAAAATAATTTTGTAAAATCATATTAGTCAATTTGCACAAAGAGAGTCGTCTTTTATTATCATTGATGGAGTATATAGACTCGGACCCCCGGGTTTCACGATTATTAGGCCTGGACAGCGATCATACACGTCATTTATATCATTTGTATTATTGTATAGTTCATATATCATTTATATGTACTAGATTAGCCTTATGTCATTGGGCCTATCGGGCTCATATTAATGGCCCGACCCATCGTTTCTCTATTTATACTCCCATAGGGAGCTCTTGTATACCTAACTCTAAGATCACAACTCTAATACACATTACTATTCATTCATCTTCTTCCTCACATTAGCTCAAATCTCTCCATTTTATTATAATTTGGATACCCTATAATCCATCAATGGTGCTTTCATTGAGAGTTTTGAGCAAATCAAGTGAGATTCCTCTTCACAAACGTCAAAAAATTCATACAAAATACAAAGAAATCCAGAAAAAACTGTCTGTAAAAAAAATCTGGAAATCCCAGATCTGAGCCGTCGCAAGCCGTCCAAGCTACCGCTGTGCGCCACCTGCCGAAGCTAGCTGCACCATTTGAAGTTCGCCGAGCCATGGCAGCTCTCTTGGCCTCCGTTCCTGGTCCAGCGCCGCCGCCGCTCTTGGTCCGGCGCCGCCACCGCTCTAGGTTACAAGTGTCATCGCCACAAAGGTCCCTGCAAACCTGCGGCCTAAAGTACCTACGAACCGGCGGTGTCCGTCCAGGCCCGAACCAGCCCAGTGTCCGGCAGCAGAATGGAGATCGACGTGTGCCGTACGACCCCCGAGATGAGCTCCGCCACTCCCATCACCACGTCGCCCGCTGCCGAGTTTTGCTGAAATCACTCGTTGAGACCAGGTAGCAAGATTGGGGACACCCTGGGCAAGATACTCCGAACTATCGATGGCTGAGGCCCCCATCCCCTTTCCGGCTAAAACAGAGGGTATCTTCCCTCCCTCTCCAGGCTGAAGAACTGCCTTACCTTCTCCTTTATTAGACCTAACGTCATTTGCGGATATCAATACGGGCAAGACTATTCAAAGGCCCGCCAACAGGATTTCTTCCAGCTCAATGAATCAGGCTTCGATTAAAATTGATGGGCCAAGACTACATGGAGACCAGGATTTCTGCATCACAGTCCATTTATACAGCCCATACCAAAGCTAAGTACTCCTAATTCCCCTCCATGGAATTGATATGTGAACATATTTGATAAAATGATTTGCAAAAAAAATCATAAATGAAATATTTTAATAATATAACATCAAACTTCAATCTCGAGGGGTGAGTCATCCGTGAAAAGACTCGTAAATAGCGTCTAGCGGATCCCAGCTACGAACTTGAGTGATAAGTTGAGCTAGATTATTAATTTACTATCATTATTTTTTAAATAGTGTGTATTTTTTGACATTGAAAAAACGGACTTATGAAATTCTGAGCACTCGCGTACACCGAGCGAGCACACACACTCGCGCCACCGGGTCACGTCAAACGAGTCTGGATAGTAAGCTCCCAATCCAAATGTTATCTAATACATACTTTAGTTTCTATGTTTTGTATGAGTTATGTTTGCCTCTAGCTATCGAAAATGAATTGCAATCCCTCAGCGGTAGGTTCAGTCCTTTATGCGTGCCACGCTCCAACTAAGCATAGAAACCTAGCTTGAGCTGCAGTTTGGAAATTTGAGGCAACTTAATTTAGGCCCAAATCCAATAGCAAATCATAAGCTCAAGAAATGATAACAATTTTAATTGAATGCATAGGTGCAACTATATGATGACATCATACCGGCCACTTAGCCGTCTCTCATGGTCATATTTATTTGATGGCTTGGACTTCTTATAGACCTCTCGGCCACACGTCTCGATCACTTTATTTGATGACCCGAACATCATATTATGGGCTGTCACTCGACCTATCTCTTAGTCATCTTTATTTGATGACTAGGACTACTTATCATGCCGAGCTACTCACATCTAGAGACTGGTCTCAGCCATCCCCTCAGAAGACGGACACCGTTGCAGCTCCACACCTAGGCCGAAGGGCTCACCCCTTTTGCTTCATTTTGGGGGCATCCGGTATATTCTTTTTCCCTCATTAGGATTTTTTCTTAATGAGGTTTTTAACGAGGCATCTCCCCACTGTGGATCAAAAGGTGTCGACCCTCGCCCCCCTGTTGAAGACATCACGCGACACACATTACTCTACTCCTCTTCACCTCACTACATTCACCTCAAGGAGTGGGGGACTGGAAGAGCAGGGGACTTGGCGCTTCCGTTAACCAAAGAAGCAGAAATTCAAAATTTTTCACGAAGTTTACTCCACCAAATGATGACAGATCAGTACATAGTTCTACTCCCTTTCGCCTTGAGTACTCTCGACTTAGGGAGTGGGGGACTCCTGATGGAGTATATAAACTCGGACCCCCGGGTTTCACGATTATTAAGCCTGGACAACGGTCATACACGTCATTTATATCATTTGTATTATTGTAGAGTTCATATATCATTTGTATGTACTAGATTAGTCTTATGTCATTGGGCCTATCGGGCCCATATTAACGGCCCGACCCATCGTTTCTCTATTTATACTCCCATAGGGAGCTCTTGTATACCTAACTCTAAGATCACAAATCTAATACACATTACTATTCATTCATCTTCTTCCTCACATTAGCTCAAATCTCTCCATTTTATTATAATTTGGATACCCTATAATCCATCAATCATAGTGTCGACCAAATGATACATTGCACTCTATATATATTAAGATAAAATCTAGCACCGTATAATCAAATCAATTGTACCCAAACTGAAGAAGACCAATTTAAGACGGTTTTAAGATTTGTTATACTCCGTTTTCAATAAACAACTGAGTTGACTAATCAAACTAAAACTAGTCAATTGTTTCATTTATTTACTCTACGTTTTGAGAAAAATATCACATAATATCAAACAAAAACATAACACATTAGCTAGAACATACACATTAACTAAAATAAACTAGACCAAACATGAACAAACAAGATCAGCAAACCAAAAAAATCAGTCCAAATGAGCAAGTACAGATGACATGCGAAGAAATGTTAAGAAAGTTTATACAAACATACCGAGTCGCATAAATGTGAGTGGTCTAAAGGAAAAACTCCCTTTTCTGGTGGCACTGGCCTCAATCCTCTATTTGCACCAAATGCCCCTCCTTCAAACGGTTAAGAGTATCTATCAGATGAGCTTAGGTAATGGAAACAAATACAGAGGGAGTGGCTTCACTGGCATTAACCATTCACCCTTTGTATGAGGAAAAAACATTATAATGTTTTCTCATAAACTATTCAAAGTGCAATCACAATTTGAGGGCCAATAAAATACGAGTATTATTTTGCGGGAAAGAAACTTACTTTCTGACAGAGATTCTTCAGCAATTTAGAAACAACATTATACTTGAGTTTTACTAATTATTACTTTGCAAGAGCAGAGAAACTCTTGATTATGATGAACTCTTTATTTGTTCACCAGCAAATACTTCATTCCTCCAACAAAAAATGGAGATGTCAATTTCATAATAATCCATATGAAATCGTATGATAAACCTTAAAGCCTTAACGGAGAAAGACTGAAAATTTTAAAAAAGTACTCATGCTCCTTTTCCTTATAGACAATAGTCTTCTCATTCTTACGCATTATAAATAAATAATCATAGACATCATTTCTACAATTAAATTCATACTAATATTAATCTAAAAATAGATAAAATTCAATAAATAAATTAAATGACAAAAGGTTTGAAATCAAACCTCTATTAAGCAAATATGGCGGAGGAGGCTTTTTTACAACATTGTAGTGGGAGGGGCGGCGGAGTGTCGGAGTACGAACTGCGGCGGCCTGTGGCGTGGCTGTTCCGTGCGCTGCTGAGAGGGCGGAGGAGGAGGCTGGCAGGTGGAACAGGCGGTGGACGCAGCTGACGGAGGAGGGGCCGCGGATCTGTTGTTGTTCCGCTTCGTCCGGCTCTGCGGCGTTCTGCTTCGAAATCTGCGGCTCTGCGTTTGTTTTTCAAGGCGTCTGGCTGCGTTTTTTTTTCGAGGGTTTGAAGAGGGTACTTTGAACGCACAAAATGAAGGGGTTGAAGCTGCTATTTTTTTTTACTTATTGCTGCGGTTTGTAGACTCCCGCAACAAATACTATTAAAATTAATTTTAAAATACATTTTGCTGCGGTTTTATCATACCCGCAGCAAATAGAGGGTTACTTTCCACTTAATTGTTGCGGTTTCGACCTACCCGCAGCAGATAGAGGGTTATTTTCTAATTAATTGCTGCGGAACACAATTAATCGCAGCAAATGGGGTGCCGCAAATGACAAAAATTCTAGTAATGAAATAGATTTATATTTATTAATCATAAAATTGATTCACTTTAGTATATTGTGCACAATCTAAAAATGCATTGATCCATTAAATTTAAATTCTAAAAACACATATTAAGTCATAGCATGGATTTACAAAATAAAAAATATAAGAAAAATTCTTTAATTTTAAAGAAATATTTGACTAATATTTAACATATCTTCAAATCGATTTGGTATTCGTACACACCGTATGATTCATTAACTATTTGTATTGTCAAAAAATACAAATATAAATCAAAATTAATATTCCTTTCTCATTCGAAGAAATTAAACAAAAATGTTTTTGTACGACAACAAATGGCATGTGGGTCCTTATGACTAACAATGTCCCATTGCGTCTTAGATTATTTTATCTATCTACTATTCTGGTGTGCAAAAAATAATATCAAGGGAGTTTAGAAGTTAGAATTATTATTAGTGGTCCAGAGATTCCAGAACGTGTATAACTGTATAAGGCCTACCGCCGCTTTGCTGACTGAGTCACCGTGATTAACCTCCCCACCATCCTGTCGGGTCGGGGTGGGGGTGGGGGGCTCATGGGGTGGGAGATTCCACCTTTTTGAACCAAGGGAGGACAATAAATAAATGATCAATAAATTAACACATTGAATATGACAGTAATATATATTATGATGACAGCTAATGACATAGGCATCAAGTTAATGATAATAAGTGTATTATTTTATTCATTAGTAAATCCTTTTATTCTATATATGATCCATAAACGAAATGGTTAGTAGATACAAAAGTGGAAGTAAATATGTAAGAGGGCAATAAATGTGTAAGAAGACAGTATAATGTGTAGTATGTATAATGATAATAATAGTAACATTATATATATATATATATATATATATATATATATATAATATTAATTAAGAACAAAAGGGCAATAAATTTGGTAAAGGAGTAACACTAGTAAATAAAACAATAAATGGACAGTAAATTGGTTTAGTACGACATTGATGGAAATCGGTAGGTAACGGGAATATGCAATACTTAATCAGAAATATATTTATTTAATAATACATAATAATTATGAGCAAGGCAGTTACCATATTTTTAGGAAGACTAAAACATGAAACTAATTCCGTTTTAATCTCGTTATTAGGAGGGCAACCGTGGAATTAAAAACAAAATAAAAATAATAACTAACCATGCACGTATTAGAGTAGGAAATAAACTGATGGAGTCATATATTGGGAAATGAGAAATGTTTTAGTCATACGAGAGATAATTTTCTCTTAAATGTAGAGGATACTATTACAATTTAAAATTACCATGAACGGCCAATTGAGCATAATATAGTTACCTAGTTTACCAAATTTGTTCATCATAAATGTATTATTACTTACATTTCCCACTTTGTTAAAACTTAAAAGTGCCGCCTAAATAAGAAGATATGAAGCATGTACTTGCCATTTTGAAAATTTGAAATAATTAATTGGTTTAAAATTTTAGCTTAAAATCAAAGAATGTACGTACAAGTTGTCATACTTCTACAACAATGCAAATGTAAACAACAACAATAACAATAAGAGAATATTACTCGAACATCGCTGTTTGGGGCACTTCATGATTTTGATGAATTATTTTGGGCATGTTCCTCATCAAATCTAGTTTATCCACAAAATATTTCAGCTCAAAATTCTATCGTGAAGACAGTCAAATCATTTCTTGAAGTTGACTGCGCCAAAATATACATATAAAAACGCACTCAAGTTCAAAAAATGATTTGACTGCCTTTCCGATCGAATTTTGAGCTGAATTTTTTTGTGGATAAACTAGACTTGATGAGAAACATATCTAAAAAATTTCATCAAAATATTCCACCTAGAAGTGTTTCAAACGACGATGTACGAACGGGGAAGTGGTGGACATGACAATTCACTTTCATAGCACGCGCTACAGTGCACTTTTTCAGGTAACGAACCTTTTCACGTTTGTGAAAAATATACCCAGTATACACTTTTCTACTTAAGTAGCGAACTTTTTCACAAACGAAAAGTGAATATTTTGTATATTACACTTTAAGACTATATATAATTGCATTCATGCGTGAAAATTACTTCCTCCACCCGTCAAAACTGAAGGGCCTGTTTATTAAAGAAATATTTTCCAATTTTCGTTCTCCAATTTTCTATTTTTATTTTTCAACTTTCCTATCTCCAGTTTTATGTTTCTATTTTCTAGTTTTCCATTTTCAAATATGAAAACATGTTCATCAATTTTTTCACCAAATTCTGTGATCATCTAGAAGACTGACACGTTTACTTCACAGGTTACTAAATGGTGCTTACTAAGGCTCGCTTTAATAAGCGATACATAAAATAAGCAATGTTATAAGATCATGTTTACTTCAAAAGGTTTAAAACACCATTTAACATTAAAATGTCCAAAATAACCTTATACCTATATAAACACACAAACATTCATGAACACAAATATATAATATAATATGTGGGGTCGATCACCTCGTATGTGCACCCATACTCTTAACCCCTACCCTGCCTGTCACGCCCCGGACCTAGCCGGACACGTCAACAACCCGTCGTGCAGTACTGATAGTTAACCGCAGTCCAACTCATCCATACTATACAAGGCGTCATGAATATCATTCACACATAGTACATCCATAAACAAACATAATGTAAAACATGCATTTAAAACAGCGGAAGCATTAATACAATTGTTCAAGCCACACTTGGCATAACTAGGCATACAAGCCTCCAAAGTAATTGTTAAGAAAATAGTATCCATGAGCATTAACTTAATTGTTTTTAAAATAGAACGGGAGAAGCACGAACCACGTCTTCCTCCCTCGAGCCTCCCGGAGCAACGGGCAATGGTAGCAACTTCAAGTTCTACCTGAAACTGTGAGGTGGCCTCCCCCGTGAAGGGGAGGTCAGTACTTGGAAATATTTGACAAGTACAATAGCAACTATACTAAGTATAATCAACGTTTTAACTTCCAAGACCCTCAAAGTAGGGTGATATCATAATATAAATAATAATTTATATTTCCTACTTATTATCTTTATAATAAGTAAATTCTTTTATTCGTCGGCACACGGCCCTTCTTAGTTATTCCTTTTCATTTAGCATTTGCACAACCCAACCCTTGGATCTTATTATTTCTACGGGACTTGCTATCGCTGTCCGAGACCTCATGAGGCTCCCGGTTCGGACTCCAACATCCCGCCCCTGGACTCATACCCATCATCCCGTAGGAAGGTAAGGCCCTTCGGTGTCCTATCTTATGTGTTACCGCTACCGGAACCTAGTTAGGTCTCCGATTCGGATTCCACCCTAACCCGTGATCACGATGTAAGTCCATGCTATCCAACCCCGCTCTTTAGAGTCGGGAAGGGCCATGGTCCTTACTATTTCCATAATTCAACCGGCTATCCACAAGGATTACCGAACACACCCGTAGGCCAATCCTATACTTAGGATCAATTTATTACTTACTTTATCTTGGGTATCCCTTAGGGCCTACCCCTAGTATAACTTAGAGTTCATACTTTCCTACCTTAAAACATCTCTTAAGACTACTTAAGGCATAACATTTCACAATCCAACCTTAGGATAATCTTAACAACATTTCATCTTAATGTCCAACTAGTATCTTAATACTAGTCAAATTATTATTAACAAACCAAGTTCTCAACTCATGGTCATATAGACAATTCCAACTGATTTTCCTTTGAAAATATCATTTATCTCAATATTCAAAATATCACTTTTATTCACTCATATATTCTAATATAAGAAAAAGTATATTTCAACATATGTTTCATAATAAATTCCACTTTCAAGTCACCATACTCATAACACATGAACATACACAATTTACTCTTAAATTTGTATATCATGCTCCTTTTCTTTAGACATTTAGTCTTTTCATTTTAGGCATTATTAATCATTAATAATCCATAAAAACACATTTAATCACCTTCGGTAATCTCATGAAATTAACTCACTAATTATAAGCAATATAGTCAGCCATCATCACCTTATGATGTGCTGAAATAGTTGCCTTTGTTGAGCTCCCCGATAAATCCTCGTTTTAAATCGATGAAAAGGCAAAAACTGGACTGCCTGGGCAAAAGCCGGGCGGCTTTCGTGTTCTGCAGATACGAGCAGCTCCCTATATGTGGCGGTTCCCGGCGATTTCGACTCCTATCGATTCACCAACACTTCTAAGTTAAATACCACCACTTTACATCAATATTCTACACTTTTTAAACGTGTAGAACATCATGTTTAATCCTTCATATGATTTCATAAAAAATCATACATGATAAAACTAGTTAATGCATACTAGTTGGATTCTTACCTCAATTCCTAGCTTTTCTTCTAGGATCCTTCTTTCCTCTTGGTTTCTTCAGCTCCAGAACTTTGAGAGCCGTTTCCCCTTGTGCTGGCCGAATTAATTGAAGAAAAGGTAGGGGAGAGGTCCTCCTCAACCAACACAATGATATTGTGAGGGATAGGACATGAGGGGTGTGGGTTTTTGTCTCTTGGAGACTTCCCACCTACTAGGTACACCCCCTAGCTGCCTTCCTTGTCACTTGCAGCACATAGGGTCGTGGGGTGGCCCCCACTTATGTGGGAGGTCATCCCATTATATCCCGGTGTGTATAATTGGCCCCAAAGTTGTATTTTTCGGACTACTTTAGTCATATTTTATTTTATCGGGCCGGATAAAATATA